TTTGTAAATTACTACATGAAATTCAAAATACCAAAGACTTAAAAAAATGAAACAATTTGTCAACAATTTAAATAATTCAGTGGTTATTTTCTTCCATTACAAATAAGAGGTTTCGAGTTCGAGTTGCATAACATACGAATGAAGTGGGATAAAGAATGCATATGAGTGAAGTGGGATAAGGAATGAGAGATGGTTGCTTCCTATTGTGCAACCAAAAAAAAAAAAAACTTGAACACTTTCTATTTCTTTTTAATACATTCGTAGCGAATGTCACTTGATATTTTAGAGACTTTTGAACATTTTTACTCTAAATCAAGCTCTTGTTGATAAAGTATTTATCTTTTAGAATTTAAAATTTTTTATTATAATTAAGTAGTTTTATCCTAAATTTATCATTGATAAGAAAATTAACTATGTCAACTATTAGATCCCTGAATGACAATATTGTTTTTTGTAAAAGTTAGAGGTATTAAATTTTAATTATAGCCAAACAAGTGAGTGAGTAAAATAAGAGAGCGTACAAAACAAAATAAAAAAATAAAGAAAAGTAGAGAAATTACAATTTTGCTATTAAGAGTTTAAGGTTAGTATACATAAAAATTCAAGATTTTAAAAAAACTATATAACATACTTGTAGCTTGAGGTGGTCATACATGATAAAATGAAATTAAATGAAATATTTTAAATATTCTTATTTTATTTTATTTTTATTTTTTTATCTTAATTGTACAATAAAAAACAATCATTTCACATCTTTTATCTTGTTCCACCGATATACCATGCGATTTGAACTCAAGACTTCTTACTTCTAACGTAAAAAAACGATCACTGAATTATTTAAATTGTTAGTTATTTTCATTTTTTAAATAACATTTTAAAAAATTTTAAGTAATTATTTGCAGTTAATACAAATTATATGCTTTTATATATAAATTTTAAAACTTTAAAATTTTATGAGTGCAAATCCAAAATCAAATATTTACGTGCATATTTCAGAACTTTAACTTTTTTATATGTATTTATTTCAAACCATAAATAATTAAATTTGTAATTTTCCGAAATAAAGATAAAATTAAAAAGAAAGTTCCAAATTCAAAAGAGGAGGAGAAGAAAGATCCCAAGAATCCACGAAGGTGGTAGTGATAGAGACCAGAAAGCTTTCCATGGCCGAGGGAGAATTCCAAGTAAATTAAGTCAAAGCAATTAGATGGGACCTTCACCGTACCCAACTTTCATAGACTCCCAATCCCAACCACCGGAATTCAATATATAAAAAGTGAATTTGTCTATCATCTATTTTTAAAATGTATATTAAAAATAAATTAATTTTATTTATATATATATATTTAATTTTTATAAAAAATTATAAAAAAATAACTTTAAAGTTGAGGGACAATTTTGATACCAAAGTGACAAGTTGAGGGACCAAAATGGTACTTAAAACTTTATTTTATCATTTATACCAAATACATAATACCTTTAATTAGATTTTCAATAAAATTAAAGTTATTTTTTAATTTTTTTAATAAAAATTAATTAACATGTACCACAACGTTAGAAGCCCGTTCAAAGATTAGAAAACTTCAACGGCTGTCCTCCGCAAGTAATTTGGGACCGTTAGTCTTGCCTCTGGCGTAATTAATTTCCGTATGTTTTTTTTTGGAATAAACCTTCAAGAATTCCGAAAGAAAATGAAACCTAAATAAATTAAAAATGAAATGACGCAAAACCCAATAAAAGAAAAAAACCCCAAAAACCCTAATTCTCCATTCATAAGATTCGAATTTGAAACCTTATTTAAAGAGAACCAAACTCTTTCAACTTAAACCAACATGTCATAAGTAATTAATTCATAGACGCCGCTCTCGAAACTGAAGTGAATTCCTCTCATTATATTTTTTAGACATTAATTTATATAAAAAATTAATATTAATTTTAATGTACAATATATATTGATATTTTTAATTAAATAATTAATAAAATTAATATTAATTTTTATTTTTTAATATGTAAAAATAAAATAAATACAACCTTAACTTATATTTTAAATAAATATGTTAAAAAAATACAATAATAAAAGATAAATTAATTAGTTAAAATATGACTTAATTCAAAAATTAGTCTACTAACTATCAACTTGATTTCATTTTAGTTTAAAAAGTATATTTTATTTATAAGTGATCTACAAATTTTGGAAAATATTTCAAAATGGTCTACCATACAAGATTGTAGTTGGTTTTAACAGAAGAATCAACTTAAAATTAAAATGGAATAGTCCTCTAAGTTTAAAAAAAGTGATATTATAATCTCAATAAAATATAATAAATCAAAGAATACTTTATAGAAATAGATTAATTAAAATTTGTGATGGACTAGCTCAATTTGAAAAGAGAAACCTAGCGAACTTAAAAAGAGAAGCTCTAGAAGTAAATATTGAAAGTACAATGAGAGTTAGAACTCTTAATTACAAAATAAGAACAAAAAGAAAAAGAATAAATATATTAAGAAATATTATTAATACACTTCTATCAACATGATCAATGAACAAATAAATCAAATTAACATGTATTTACTCAATACGGTAGAAAAAAGTATAATAGATATAAAAGATACAATTATCATAAATAATATTTTAAAAATAGAAACAATTAATGAAAATACCCTAAGAAGAATTAAAGAAATGAGAAAATCTCTTTCTCAATAATTTGATTCTATTAAAGAAAGAGTAAATAATGTCAAAAACTCTATAAATTTGAAAGAAATAAAAGAAGAAATAAAAGAAGAAATAAGGTCCATTAAAGACTCAAAGACTCTGATATCTCGAGTAAGAGAGATAGAAATCAAAATAGAAGAAATTTTCAAGATATTAAAAGCAATCATTGAAAAATTTATCATAAAAGCTTAAAAATGTATAACATAATAATTCCACAACTAAAGAACAAATTGAATTCCTTGGATTAACAATAAATTTCACGGGAATAGAATTACAACATCACATTAGCAAAAAAATTTCGATGTTCCCAGATGAATAAGAATCTAAAGAACAAATTGAAAGGTTTCTAGAAATACTCAATTATGCAGAGCAATTTATTTAAAACCTAACTCAATTAAGACATCTTTTGCAAAAGTTACTCACGAAAAAGGAAATCAACAATGGAAAATTTATCACACTAATCATGTGAAAAGAATAAAAGAATATTACAAAACCTTCTTAGGCTACAATTGCCTAAAGAAGATGAAGAATTTATTTTAAAATGTGATGCCTTAGATTTTTATTGGGGGAGGAGCTTTAAAAAATTCTCAAAAAAAAGTTTGTAGATATGCTGTGGTATATTTAAAGATGTAGAAACTACTTATAATATTTTAATATTATATTTTTTAGACATTAATTTATATAAAAAATTAATGGCTATTGTAATACCCATTAATTGATTCACATACTTATAATATTTTAATATTATATTTTTTAGACATTAATTTATATAAAAAATTAATATTAATACAACCTTAACTTATATTTAAACCACGATTTTTTGACAAGACGGGCCTGTTCTTATGACCTTAGGCACAGGTCCAAGCTCCCCTTCTGGCTTCTGAAGAATGAAGACCGGCCTGTTATTAGGACCTTAGGCCCAATTTCAATTTTCTTTTGAATGGCAGGCCCAATTTGAAATTTACCTTCTCTCTCTCTATATTTTTTGGAACTAAATTAAAATTTTATTT